ATCACAATGGCATCGTCCAGTGTGCTTAGAGTTAGCAAAAGATGTTTGTTTTTAATAAGTCTGCTGCAGATAGGTCAGAATGTAGGCCTAATAAATATCCTGCTTTGCTTGTAGGAACCTTAAAAACATAGAATTATAAAATCTGAAAAGCAGAAGGAGTTTAAAGATCATCTGTTTCAATGTGTGTGTGTGTGTGTGTGTGTGTGTGTGTGTGTGTAGTGAGGAATCTATTGATTACCTGTATCACAATCAATACGGTACCAGTAAATAATGAAGGTTCCTGGATCTTGTCACAGAACAAGTAAATAAAAATTTTTGTGGGAGCTACAGGTTAAAAAAACTGCTTATTATTAATAAATAAACTGCCTAGCAATTTATTTCATACATTAAATCTTGAGACTCACTGGCCTAATCCACCCTTTCATTTGCTAATGAGAAAACTGGGCCATTTCTTCACCAAGACTAATTGGTAGCAAAATACTCATGATGCAAGAGTCGTCCTGACCCCAGTTGAATACATTTTTAAAAATGATTTCATGAAGAGACTTGGACTCTCCTATAGCAACGATTACTTTATTTGCTGCAAACACCAAGTCCTGAAAGTTTCCTTAATGAGATAAAGCTTCTAGTTTTGTAGGTACTTAGTTTTATCAGTTAAATGCTAAACGGAGTACATTTTTACAAGAGGCTTTAACCAGTTACTTAAATTCTCAGAGAAATAGCCTGATGACTCAGGATGAGACATCCCCTGGTCTCTACTTGCATCCAAATTCATGTTTGGCTCCATTTACGGATTATCCTGTTTGATAGCAAAGATGTTTCCCCTAGGGGTTTCATGGAGCATGTATCTGGGTCATTTACCTAAGATGACAGCTCTTTGAAATCTCCTATGTATCCTCTTGCAGAGCTAGTTTGGGGCAGATACAACTGTGCATCCCTACATAGGTCAAACACATTTCCCAACCTTACTGTCCTGTGTATTTATTTATTATATTGCATACTGAGTGTTTTTGTAAAATTTATTTTGGACAAAGGATTCTGTTGTCAAAAATAAGGCATATACCTATATATATAGATATAGATAGATGGATTCTTTTTTTTTTTTAGATGGAGTCTCACTCTGTCACCCAGGTAAGAGTGGCGATTTCGACTCACTGCAACCTCAACCTCCTGGGTTCAAGCAATTCTTCTGCCTCAGCCTCCTGAGTAGCTGAGATTACAGTTATGCACTTCCACACCTAGCTAATTTTTGTATTTTTTGTAGAGACAGGTTTCACCATGTTGGTCAGGCTGGTCTCAATCTCTTGACCCCCTGACTCCCACCTCAGCCTCCCAAAGTGCTGGGATTATAGATGTGGGCCACAATGTCTGGCTGGAAGATAGATTAAAAAAAAATGTGTTGCTTTGAAGAGTAACACTGATTTCTGCATTTAGGGATAGTCTGTGTGGGTTGCTATATAAGGATATATATATGAACCGAATAGTGTCCTTGCTAAATTTATATGTTGAAGCCCTAACCCTCAATACAACTGTATTTAAAGAGAGCTTTTAAGAGGTAATTAAGGTTAAATGAGGTCATAAGAGTGGGGCCCTAATCTGATAGGATTGGTGGCCTTATAAGAAGAAGAAGACAGAGAAAGCCCTCTCTTCACATACATGCACCAAGGAAAAATCATGTGAGCACACGACAAAGTGGGGGCTGTCTGCAAGCCAAGAAAAGGGCCCCCACCAGAAACTGAGCATGCTGGCACCCTGTGCTTGAACTTTCCGGCTTCCAGAACTGTGAGAAATAAACTTCTGTTGTTTAAGCCACCCAATCTATACTATTTGCTATGGCAGCCTGAGCAGATTAAGATAGTCATGAAGCATAGGCCTGGTTTCAGAAGTGCACGTGAAAACACACAGTAGTATGGTCCCAGATAGGCCGCTTCCTGGAACACGTATTTCCTATCTCAGATGCTCTCAGGTTTTGTTTCGTGTGTGTGGCCTCTGTTTGAGTAACCTTGCTTGGCTTTTTAGCCTCTAGCTTCCTTCAGATAGCTCCATGGCAGTGTTAGAGTGATGTCCTACTGGTGTTTCCTTGGGATTGTTAACCGTAACGTGATGTACCAACCCTCTTAAACCAGCCTGGATAGCATAATGAGAGCCCGTCTCTACAAAAAAGTTTAAACAATTATCTGGGTGCCATGATGTGTGCCTGTAGTCCCAGCTACTTGGGAGGCTAAGGCAGGAGGATTGCTAACTATAGGTTGTACAACAGGACTCTAGAACGTCTTCATCTTGCATAACTGGAATTTGTTACTATATTATATTCTTGAGACACATCTAAACTCTTGAGTTTGTATACTCTCCTGTTACATCATGACAATTGTCTTCAAACCTTCACATGTGACTGGGCTGATAAACTTAATTTAAAGTGATTCTTCAGATAAGTTATTTCATTGATTCATATTGCTTCTAACCTTAGCACCACCAGAAATCAGAGCTTCTTGATGGTGGGTAGATCTGCCAGGCCTTGCCTTAGAAATGAAGGAAAGTAATCTTATTAAAGGTATTTCAGGGTCAAAGGCCCATATATAGTGGTACGTTAACATTAGAGAAAGAGAATCCATTTTAAGAAATGAGGGAGCTAATAAGTATGTGGGTGTTTGTGGAGAAAGGAAGAGGAAATCAGGTTTGTGAGGCTGGGCAGTGGCCCATTACTGGATTTCGGTTAGACTTTTCAGATGACTGACATGCCACAAAACCACAGGCTTGGAGACAGCATTCTCCTAAGGGACGGGGTTGAGCATAAGGTCACCCAAAGGCAGAAGAAAATATTTATTTTGCTATTTAGAGTTGTTTTCCTTTCTTTAAACAAACTCTCCATCAATTCCACAGCAAGAGCTTTCTTCTGGCACATCTGGTTTATGTGAATATATTAGTGACTTTACCAGAAAGCCACAGCGTCACACCAAGGCCCATGATCGTTTCACCAGGTAATGATTAATGTCATGTTACAATTTCACAATATTGTAGTTGAATAACTAATCAATTAACTAACGTTTTGTGAGTACCTTATGTGTGGAGGACAATAATTTACTTATGTGACTACTCCTTGATGACAGCAGTCAGTTCCTTCTGGAAAGTATGGATTAAGCCATTGTATTTCTTGGTAAATAAATATACTAGTCAAAGACCAAGATATTATGTATGTGTATATACTAATGACTTTAACAGAGATATAAACCCTTATTTTAGGAATTCTTTAGTACTAGTCATAGAGTTCTAAATTGATGCTATGTAAAGAATTTGCTCTTTATTATATTAGTCTTGAGAATTACAACCAGTGAATCCCAGTAACTGGAAAATACCTTAGGGTTTATACAAGGAAATCCATTAATTCTACAAATTAAATATTTGAAGACCAAGGAGGGTAGGAGACTTGTCCAGGCCTCCTGAGTCTTAAGAGTTTTTAATTAGAGCACTAGTCCATGCAGATTGTATTTGTCTTCTCAAAGTTGTGACTCATGGGATATGCATGCATTGCTTAAGAATGCACATTTACTGTTTCTGAACTACCTGAGTGACAGGATCATCCATGTCCCAGACCCCAGCACCATGCAGTATACCCATGTAACAAACTTGCACGTGCATCCTCTGAATCCAAAATAAAAGATTTTTAAAAAAGAATATATGTTTAAACACCCAGCTCTGACTGAGTATTCAAAAGAGAAGTGGCAGCACAGGATGTGGAGGTGAAGGACAGCCTCCTTTTTCTGAGCCGCCGTAAGTAGGTAATGTCATTCATGCAAAGCCCTTATGCTTGATTGCATAAACATCCAACACCATGTAGAAAAATAAAAGGTCATCTGTGGCTGGAACATCTGGATGGGTACAGCCAGTCTCTGTGGTTTGCCTCTTTCTAAGATGTCAGAAATGGCATACTCTAAAAGGTAGTTCAGTCTACGATTTTGAACATGTTCCTGAAACCCAGAGAATCAAATTGTTAATGCTGCCATGAGTTCTTTACAATGGTTTTACATTAATATTGCCAGGAGAAACTTTAAAATCACCAATGCACCAGGCCGTTTCCCAGACCAATGAAATCAGAATTTCTGGGCTGCGACCCAGGCATTGGTAATTTTTAACACTCCCCAGGTGACTCTAACGTGCAGCCTGGCCTGAGACCTATTGAGTTACTCATAAAATCTGGCAAAAAAAACAAAACAAAACAAACACACACCCAGATTATTTATAAAATGTGCTTCTTATCAAGGAAATAAAGCAATGTTCAGTTAACTACATTTAGCAAACAATTCCCAATTTAGCTGGCACTGTCTTTAATCTGTGAGATCCTCCTCCTCCTCCTTCTTCCTTCTTCTCCCTCTTCCTTCTTCTTCTTTTTTGAGACAGGGTCTCACTCTGTTGTCCAGGCTGGAGTTCAGTGGCTCCATCATAGCTGACTGCAGCCTTGAATTCCTGGATTTTAGCAGTTTTTCGGCCTCAGCCACCTGAGTAGTCAGGACTACCAGTGGGACTACAAGATGACGAGCGTGTAAATTAAAAAATCACAGTCCTGGCTTTTTTTTTTTTTTTTTTTTTTTTTTTTTTTTTTTTTTTTTTTTCCGATAGAGATGGGGTCTTCCTATGTGGCCCAGGCCTCCTGGGCAAACTGGCACCAAGCAATCTTCCCAACTCAGCTTCCCAGAGGTGCTGGGATTTCAGGTATGCGCCATTATGCCTGGCAGGGATTCATCCTTCTTTTGAGATTTAAAGATATAGATGATGGGGAATGGAGGCAGCAAACCACCTTGCCATGTATATACCTATGCAACAACCCTGCATGATCTGCACATGTACCCCAGAACCTAAAGTACAATAAAAAAAATAAGTCCATGTTTAAACCCTAATCTTCAATTTCTGACATTTATGACTTTCCCTCCTTACGTTCTTCATCTCAAGATAAACATTTGTACTTTAAACGATTTTCTAGTCAACAATGATCATTTATTAAATTCCTAATGTTTTCCTGTGTCTGTGTTAGGTACTTTGTACACTTAATTTATTCCTCACAACGGAGCTATGCATTAGACATTATTATCCTCATTTTGTGTAAAGGAAAATGGAATCTCAGAGAAGCTGAGTTGGACGGCAGAAATAGCTTTTTTGCTCCCCTCAACCAGTTTTTGGTTTTTTTTTCCTATTCTAGTATACTGTATCCTGACAATAGCATGGTGTCACAGCTAAGTCCCAGACTGAGAATCCGCAAATGTGTGCTCTTGCCTGGATCTACTACTAATGTCCCTTACAAGTCCCATAACTTGAACTTCTTTGTCTTAAGAAAACAAGAAGGGGCTGGGCATGGTAGCTTATGCTTGTAATCCAGCACATTGGGAGGCTGAGGCGGGAGGATTGCTTGAGCCTAGGAAGGAGTTCAAGACCAGTAAAATCCTGTTTCAAAAAGAAGTTATTAAAAAAAAACAAAAGAAGAAGGGCTGGGGGCAGTGGCTCATGCCTTAATCCCACCACTCTGGGAGGCTGAGGTAGGCAGATCCCTGAGGTCAGGAGTTGGAGACCAGCCTGGCCAACATGGTGAAACCCTATCTCTACTAAAAATACACAAATTAGCTCGGCGTGGTGGCTGGCTCACGCCTGTAGTCTCAGCTATTTGGGAGGCTGAGGCGTAAGAATCCCTTGAACAGGGAAGGCAGAGGTTGCAGTGAGCCAAGATCAAGCCACTGTGCTCCAGCCTGGGTGACAGAATGAGACTCTGTCTAAAAAAAAAAAGGAAAAACCAAGAAGAAAAAAGATTCAAGAAGGCAAGAAAGAAATCAGTCACAGAAGATTAAATTTTATATTGTATAAAATTCCATTCGTACGAAATTTATAGAAAGGCAAAACCATAGAGACAGAGAATTCGTTCAGTGGTTGGCTAGGGTGGGAGAGGGGATTGTCCACCACAGGTCTGGGGAAACTTTGTGGAGTGATGGGTATGTTTTAAACTGGACTGTGGTGCTAGTTGTATAATCATACATAGTCACCAAATGTTCTATAACTGGACCCTTACAATGGGAGAATTTTATGATCTGCAAACTATTCCTCAATAGGACTGGTAAAAATGATATTAGCACTTGTACTAGAAGATGACTGCTCTAATAATTCTAGAAATACTATTTATGGCATTTTCACAGTAGATAAAGTGTTATATCTTTAACAACATGTTGAACCTTTTTATGTACCCATTTTAAGTATACAGTTGATAACTCTTGAAAAGTATATACATTTATGCAGCTACCATCACGATCAAGATATAGACATTTCCATCATCCCAGAATTTCCCTGTGTCCTTCCCAGCCAACACTCCCACCCACAACCCCGGGCCCCAGGCACCGCTACCTGCTTTCTGTCACTATAGATTAGATTTACCTTTACTAGCATTCCATAAAAATGGAAACAGGCAGTATGTACTCTTTTGTGTCTGGCTTCCTTCACTAAGCTTGCCATTTGTGAGACTCATCTGTGTTGTTGCATTTATCCAGTAATTTTTTTCTGTTGTTGAGTAGTATTAGATGGTATGGATATATCATAATTTGTGCTTGGCTATAATGAATAAAGTTGCTATAAACATTTATGTACCAGTCTTTTTTTTTTGAGACGGAGTTTCACTCATGTTACCCAGGCTGGAGTGCAATGGCGCGATCTCGGCTCACCGCAACCTCCGCCTCCTGGGTTCAGGCAATTCTCCTGCCTCAGCCTCCTGAGTAGCTGGGATTACAGGCACGCGCCACCATGCCCAGCTAATTTTTTGTATTTTTGGTAGAGACGGGGTTTCACCATGTTGACCAGGATGGTCTCGATCTCTTGACCTCGTGATCCACCCGCCTCGGCCTCCCAAATTTATGTACCAGTCTTTTGTAGACGTATGTTTTGTTTCTCTTGGGTCAATTCCTATACCTAGGAGTAGACTTGTTGGGTTATAAGGCATGTGTATATTTAATGTGTTAAGAAATTGCCAAACTGTTCTCCAAAGTGACTGTATCATTCTACATCATTGCCAGCAGTGTGTAGAATTTCTGGTTGCTTCACATCCTCCACAGCACCTAGTATTGTTCTATTATTTTGTTTTTCACATGAATTAACTTTTCATTTCACCAAAAACTTGATACTGCTTTATTGTTATTTATTTCAATATTTCATTTCTCAATGAAATTTATTATATAATTTTGAAGTTTTTCTCAAAATAATAAGTGGCCCATTTTTTAGAAGCCCTGTGAGCAAATTAAATCTTACGTTCATCATCACAGTTATTTAAAAATTCAAATAAACACTGCAGTTTAGCAAAGGTTTTCCTCCAAAATTTCAATTATAAGTACTAGTTGTAATTTTAAATAAGAAATGAGAATTAATTTGGGTAAAATCTGGACATCCACAGACAGTAAAGTAGAAACCTATTAGTCAAGTGATGTGGAACTAATTTTTGGAGTTTAGCTCCATTATTACTGTACGTTTGCTACAGATAGTATATCATGTATTCTGAGCAGAAAACAACACATCAGTAGGTTGATGCCTAGTGTCATCATTCACTGTTTTGCATCTGAGGCTTCTTTCTTTGTTTCTAATAGGTTGACTTGAACATCATTGGCTAAGCATAGAAAATCAAGAAATTGTTAAAACTTGGCCAAAGTTTTCTACCTCTCATAGTTATGAGATGATGAATGGAAGACTTCTGAAAAACAATTCAATAGTGTCTTCTTTCACAAGCTTTAAAACATTATCTCTTCACAAATTCTTCGAACTTTTTGTTTGTTTTTAGACTGTGTGTTCTCAATAGGAGCAACATTGCCCCCCAAAGGGTGAAAATTGGTTCTTGAGGGGTTTAATATTTTCTTACTATTTTAATGTATAAAGCACAGATATACCTGTATACAGTTCATAGACAAAAATACTAGTGTCTCTGTGGCATTAAATTTTATGGAAGAGAGGATGATCAGAAAAAATGTTTAAAAAGGCTTCTTTAGGGATGTGATACTGAGCACAAGTTTAGAAACTGAAATAGAGGACAGAAAAGGCCACATGAAGAATTTAAGGGGACTAATCAAACAGGACATTTTCAACTGATTACATGAATTTGGCCTAAGTCTGATCCCTCAGAATCTCACCGCTCTCAAGATACTGTTTGGTTTAAAGTCATTAGCCTTGGAATAGAAAAGAAGAAATCTCAACTTTGTTAAGAAATGTTTGTAAATAGGAAATTTTCATTCTTTATCACACTTTGTTTTAAAGCAATGCTTGAGGAAAAAAATATTGTTATATCCATTGTTTCATAGCTGAAGGAACTAAGGCTCAATGAGATTAACACTTTCAAATTCTACAAAGAACACCCAGTTTCTGAGTGTCATTAGTGAATGTAAGAACCTGAATTTGTTTGATTTAAAAGCCCATGATTTCCTCCCCCTTGTACGCTAGCCAGGGATTGCTGGTGGGTGAGATGGTGTTTCGTTCAATTATCCTGAGTTCACTGAAAATGGACTCAAATGCCTGAGTCAGGAATTGATGTGTTCTCCCAGCTCCAGTTCCGGAAAGGCTAGTGGTGGGGGTGGGGCTGTCACTAAGATGTCCAGGAGTTCTGCATGGGGCGGGGAGGGCACAGTCTCCCCGGAAGTCTCAGTTGGACTGGGGCTTACAGGAATTCAAGAGCTTTGGCTAGAACAGAACCAATCTCAGGCTTGCAGAAAACCCTGTTAGAGTAGCAACGTTACATTCCATTCCATATTTGTCAGTGAGGGAGAGGCACTCTGATCCCCATCAGAAGTTTGAAGAACCACATAAGTTTTGGCTAGCTTCCTGTTCTCTCTGCTTCATAGCTTAAAGATGAAACTTCTGTTTTCTGTGCTCTTCCAGCCTCTGCTCCCAAGTAGCACATGTCAGCCGAGGAATGATTGCTGATTTCAAAATTAGAGAGATGGCCATATAGACTATGAACATATAGATCATTTCTGCTTTTTCTTTTGTTTCTGGAGATAAGTATACAACTTTTTGTACAACATCCCCTATATTCATTAAATTTGTGATGTCCTTGTTGCTACCTGATATCATATATCCACTTTATTTTATATTTCTGCTTTTCCTTTCCCAGTGACAGGTTGCCATTTTAATGATGATTGGTTATCATTTGGGAGCAGGACCTTAACCTTTAACTTTTCCTGACAGGACAAAAAACAGTAACGTGTATTCACACTACCCACCTTTATTGATTCTGTTGGTAAGGAATAAGAGAGGATCATAAACTAGAAGTAAGAAAATGGAGGTTTTAGTGCTATGGTCATTCTTTTTCTTTAAAAGAGAGTGCACGATGCTTGCCTCACTCTGCTGTAACAAATGAATGTATGTTAAAACTAAAATACAGTTTAGAAAACTTTCACATATTACAAGAACAAGCTAGGAGTGTTGTTATTTTATTATTAGCAAAATTCATAGTCCTAATGTCTGTCCTAAGGGAAAAACATCAAGCATTTTAGAAGAGGTCACATGTCATCTTGCTCTGTGCTAGCATGGAAATAAATGAGAGTTGGGAAAATAGGACATAAATATCCTAAGTTATCAGGGAATACTGCTGAGGCATCACAGGAGTGTCACTAGTTATTTTGGTTTCTCAGCCAGGACCTGAGGTGCAAGGCCAGTGGGTGGTGTCTGGGACAGCAGAGAGAAAATGAAGAACCTCTTGGAGAGTGCTCTCCCCTTGCTCTGTCTCTCTTTTATTCTTCACTCCTTAGGCCAGATTCTCTGGAGGCAGAGTTCAGCCACCACTGTGTTTACACTTTGGTACAAGAGAGGTTTCTTGTATGTAACACCGTGCTCCATGGAGCCATAGAGAGAGCTGGTGGCACTTTGCAATTTTCTGGGCAGTAGCTTGTTAGACTGGAGAAAGCCCCAACTAGGAGCCAGAAGTTTCGATGTTATTAGATGCATAATCATCACACGTAACAGCAAATCAATTTCTAGCAAGTTACTTAAATCTTTCTATCATGGTTTATTTATTGTTTTACCTTCTAAAAATTGAGATATAATTCATATACTATAATATCCACCCTTTATAAAGTATAGAATTTGATGACATTTAGTACATTCACAAAGTTGTGCAACCATCACCACTATCTCATTCCAGAACATTGTCATCATTTCAGAACAACAAAACAAAATACTCATATCCATGAGCAGCCGCTCCTTACCCTTCCCTCCCCCCAGTCTTCAGCAACCACTAATGTATGTTCTGTCTCTATAGACTAGACTAGTCCTCACACTTCATATAAATGTAATTATATGATATGTGACCTCTTGTGTCTGTCTCCTTTCACTTAGCATAATGTTTTCAAGGTTCTTTCATGATGTTACATGTATCAAAATTTTATTTCTTTTTATGGGCAATAGTACTCAGTGGTGGCTTATTGTTTAGTCACTCATTCACCCACTCTTCACTGAATACCTGTTGTGAACCAGCCTTGTACTAGGCTCTTAGGACACATTTATTCATGTTTGTGACATGAATGAAGGCACAAATTTATTAATTAATATATAAAGATAAATAAGAGATCGTCATATCCCCTCAGTTAAAAATATTAGGTGAACAGATTATTTATGAGCTTTTTACATTTTGAGGTCTTTGTGTCCATATAAGTAAAGAAAAGCTGATTATATAGTAGCCTTGTTAAAAGCATGCTTTGACCAGGCGCAGTGGCTCACACCTGTAATCCCAGCACTTTGGGAGGCAGAGGCGGATGGGTAGCTTGAGCCCAGGAGTTCGTCAAGACCAGAAAAGAAAAGTTACCTGGATGTGGCAATGTGTGCCTGTAGTCCCAGCTACTCAGGAGGCTGAGGCAGGAGGATCACTCGAGCCAGAGAAGTCAAGGCTGCAGTGAGCTGTGATTGTGCCCCTGCACTCCACCCTGGATAACAGAGTGAGACCCTGTCTCACAAAAAGAAAAAAGCATGCTTTTCTTTAGAGTTTTTACTTATTGTATTAATTTTTTAAAATAAAGAAATTATAAGTTGATCTTTTAAAAATTAATATGCGCAAATGGAAAAGAGAGAGGCAGAATTTATGACCTAGTCCATTACTTAAAGGCCTGGCTAATTTAGCTATTTGAGCATTTGAGAAACTGGTACAATGCAATTTCGCATGTTTCTTAAGGAAGCATAATTACATGATAGTGTGTGGAAAAAATTAGAGACATTCACCTGCATACATGGCATCTGAATAGTACATACAGGGCATAAGGAGACCTGAGTTCTTGTTTAGTTCTGCCTCTACTCACCCCTTGGAAGTTAGGTTAGAGGAGGGAGGGAGGCCTGCTTCACGGACCCCAGAACGGTGGGTTATTTACATGCTGCCCTGGGCTCAGAAGGACCTATGCTTCTTTTAACACTTGGTTGTGACTGTCTTGAAATTCTTAATAACTTTTGAACAAGGGGCCTTGTATTTCATTTTCCACTGGGTCCTGTAATTTATGTAGCCAGTTCTGAAGGGAACAAATATTTATTAAGTGTCTACTCTGGATTGGCCATTTAATTTGATTCCACAGCTCATGTTGTTTAACAAATCATGTTTCTCTATTGTTAAAATGAGAATATTACATTTAATATTATTTAAGGTCTCTTCTATGTCAAAATTTCACTAATTCTAAGTCATGCAAAATGATCTATGAAGGCAATGTACCAGCTGATTCATCTTTTCAAGATTTATCTTAATTGTCATAACTTCCTGGAAATCTTGATTTCTTTCCCCGGCCAAATTTAGTAAGCTTTCTTTTGTGTTCCCATACCCTTTCAGTGTTATTATCAGAGCTTTTTATAAAACTGGATTTTATGGAGTAAAAATAGTTTCTGTCTCTCCCACTGTTTTTTATGCCCTCTTTAAATCAGGTACTGTGTCTTAATTAACTTGTAACTTGCAAAATGCCTCTTAAAACAAGCAGAATTAAAGAATTCAACAGTAAAAATGAAAATTCAAAAATGTGAGTTCATGACTTATTAGAGATGGGAAAAACTAAGGCAAACACATAGCCCACAACAGAGTCACTGGAATATAGAAACTAAAGACATACAATGAGAAAATAAATTAGGGCATTATCCTAAGTAACTTTAACTTAAAAAAATGATATATGCATAATTATATAGAAATTTAATAAACAAAAAGTAATACGTCTCCTTGATTTTAAAATAATCAAAAGGCACAGGGGGTATAAAATAAAAATTTCTTTCCACCTAATTTCCCAGTCTCATTTTCCAAAGATATACTCAATAAGAGTTTCTTAGCCAGGCATGGTGGCTCTCATCTGTAACCCCAGCACTTTGGGAAGCTGAGGCAGGCAGAAACTTGAGCCCAGGAATTTGGCACTAGCCTGGGAAACATGGCAAAACCCCATCTCTATAAAAAATTGCAAAAACCAAGTGGGCATGGTGGTGCATCCCTTTAGTCCCAACTGTTCAAGGAGTTGAAGTGGGAGGGTCACCTGTGCCTGGGGAGGTAGAGGCTGCAGTGAGCTGTGATTGTGCCACTGTGCGCCAGCCTGGGTTGCAGAGTAAGACCCTATCTCAAAAACAAAACAACAAAAAAAGAAGTTTCTTGAGTATCCTTCTAGAAATGCTTTATGAGGAATATATTTATATAATCTTGTTATCACACAAATAGGATTATAGAACTCGATTTCTATTTCTATATAGTTCGAATTTTCTTTACCTTTTGCTTAGGCTATTTCTTAGACCTCCTCCCATATTGGAACCTATAGATCCCCCTCATTCATTTTCAGGAGGGCATAGTACTCTCTGACATGTGTTGAACACAGTTAATTAAGCCAGTCCTTTCTGATGAATACTTAACATTGTTTTCAATTTCTCTAAATTACAGAAAAGCACAATAGCTATCTTCACATAGGAATATATTCACAGTATAAATTCCCAGCAGTGAAATGCTGGAAGTCTTTTTAATTTGACTTTAAGAAAAGCTTAATACAGTACTCAACCTGATGTCTTTGAGACAATTTTTCATTTACTTGTTTATTCTTGTCCCTCACCTTCTTTTAGAATTTTTTTTCCGATTGGTATGACTAATTCTAGAATATTTCTAGCTTTCACAAAATAATTTATAGAAAATCAGTCTATATTTTGAAAGACCAATTAAATCTGTCTACCTCACCAATGTGAAGAAGTAGAATTTAAGTTTCTTTCCTAATACATTTTTCTAGTGTTAAATTCAAAGACTACTATTTTTCTTTTATTTACAGCAGTCTGTGTTCAAATTGTATGATGACAGATTCCAGGGTAATATTTTTGGCTGTGTGAGCTTCTCCCATTATAGTAGAGTACCAGCTTCTTAATGCCTGTGACACGGTTTGGCTGTGTCTCCACCCAAATCGCATCTTGAATTGTAGTTCCCATCATCCCCATGTGTCACGGGAGGGACATAGTGATTGAATCACAGGAGTAGTTTCCTCCATGCTATTCTTGTGATAATGAGTTCTCACAAGGTCTGATGGTTTTATAAGGGGCTTCCTGCTTCCCTTGGCTCTCATTTTTCTCCTTGCTGCTGCCATGTGAAGAAGGATGTTTACTTCCCCTTCTGCCATGATTGTAAGTTTCCCGGGGCCTCCATAGCCATACTGAACTTTGAGTCAATTAAACCTCTTTATTTTATGAATTTCCCAGTCTTGAGAGTGGACTCAGATAGCCTGTCTCCATGTGAGCTCACATTCCTGGCCCTCGTATGGGCCCAAACAACACTCCTTTGCTTAGTAGAAATTCAGCACATGTTTTGAAATTGATTGTGTTGGAAACATCAAAGATGCCAGATCCTAGAATTGTTCAGATTAAAGAAAAAATAACATTTTATTTTGTTTTTATTAGAGACAGGCTCTGGCTCTGTCACCCAGGCTTGAACACAGTGGCATGATCATAGCTCACTGCAGCCTTGACCTCCTGGGCTCCAAGTGATCCTCCTGCTTTACCTTCCAAAGTGTTGGGATTACAGGTATGAGCCACTGCACCTGACTGAAAATATTTTAAATACATTCTTTAATAATTTCATTGCAGTTTTGTGACCCAGGTAATTTTCACTTAATCTTACTTAATTACAAAAAGCAGTATGAAAAGTAAACACAAGGAAGCCTAGAACATACCAAAATTTTCCTGTATAGAATGATTTGATTTTTAAATATTTTAAGGTCTTATTTCCTTGCTTTCCTTATAGTGATGGTAAAAAATGACTTTTTAAACATCTTTTGAAAAATTAGAACACTCTCAGATTTAGAATGCTCCCTGATTCTTCTTCTTCCTTTTTTTTTAAGATAGAAAATTTGGGAGCAAATCATTAGGGCCAAGGTTTTAGAAGTTCACCTTGTTTTCTATTCCTCTACAGTCATTTTTTGAGGCAGGGTCTCATTGTGTCACCAGGATGGAGTACAGTGGCATGATCTTGGCTTACTGCAGCCTCAACCTCCTGAGCTTAAGGGATCCTCCCACCTCAGCTTCCCAGGTAGCTGGGACTACTAGTGTGCACCATTACATTTAGCTAATGTTTTCATGTTTTTGTAGAGATGGGTGTCTCATTACATTGCCAAGGCTGGTTTCAAACTCTTGAGCTCAAGCGATCCTTCCACACTGGCTTCCCAAAGGGCTGTGATTACAGTGGCAAACCACTGCACCCTGCCTATACAATTGAGTAATCACAATTGAGGAGTTTTCGGCAAATCATTTCATTTCTCTGAGGCTTGTTTGTTCTGTTGTCGGCGAAGTTAAGAGAATCTTAAATATCTATCCAGTTCTAAAATGATACGACATCAAAGTGGGAGTGATGGTGGCGAAGGGTTGTGGGAATTGCTTGTAAACATATTTAGCAGATTTACAGAAGTCAAATAAAGCGATGAAAAAGTGCCACATATCGAAAGAATTTAAAAAGTCACAGATGGCAGCAAAAACAGAACCAAGGCATTTTTCCCTTTGTCTCATGACAGACTGTCTTAGGGAATCCTGACACATGGATTGAATTGCTTTCAATATGGCAGTCAATAACACTATGAAGCAAAAATTCTGTGACAATGGCTGGGCCTCTAGTTACTCAGTGTCTGAGGTGAGAATTAGGAAAGTGAGAAGTTCTATAACCCATAATACTGTGTGTGTGTGTGTGTGTGTGTGTGTGTGTGTGTGTGTGTGTGTGTGTGTGTGTGTGTCTGGCTAAATAGAACTTAAACCATTCAAAGTTCTACATCTTCCTTTTTCGTTTGTTAATTTCTTTGGCATCCTATTCATTAGGCACTGGTGATATGTGGTCAGTGGGGGAAACAGATACTGAGTAAATAATCATATCAACACATAGATAATGACATTTTGTGGCATTGCTAAGAATGACAATAAATATAATAATGAGAAATGAAAGCAGGGTCACTTATTTAGATTATGGAATCAGTGAAAGTCTTCTTTGAGGAAATCACATTTAGCTGACATAAGACATGACCAGAATGTAGTCAGGAAAAGAAGATTTTAGATAAAGGAGTTAGACTAAGCCTGAGGTAGAAAAGAGTTAGGGGAACTTTAAAAACCAACAGAACTGGTTGTGCCAATAACCTTGAGAATAGCAATATGGAATAATGCTAGAAGGCTTATAGGCCTTATAAATCTTGATAAGGATTTCGTATTTTATTATTGTATATCTTACTATTGAGGATGTTACACAATCTGATTTGTGTTTTTAAAGTCTCCTGCTTGGGCCCGGTACAGTGCTTCATGCCTGTAATCCCAGCACTTTGAGGGGTTGATGCGGGTGGATTACTTGAGGTCAGGAGTTTGAGACCAGTCTTGCTAACATGGCAAGACTGTATCTCTGCTAAAAATACAAAAAAAAAAAAAAAAATTAACCAGATGCATGCCTGTAATCCCAGCTACCCAGGTGGCTGAGGCATAGAATCACTTGAACCCCAGAGGCAGAGGTTGCAGTGAGCCAAGATCACACCACTGCACTTCAGTGTGGACAATAGAGCAAGACCCTGTCTTAAAAACAATAAAAAATAAAATGAAATAAAATAAAATCTCCACTGGCTGTTCTATGGAGAATCCATGAGAAGTGAACAAATGTGGATTCAGAGATTGGTTTAAGGAAATATAGAGAATTACCAGAATTAGGAAAGAGATAATATCAGGATGATAGTGGCTTGAACTAGGTAATAGCAAAGGAACTGGAGAGAAGTGGATAGATTTTGGACATATTTTGAGGGCAGAATCAATAAGATAGTGTCTGAACACTTCTGGAATTTTGTTTGCTTGTCTCTTTTTAGGTTTTATGTACTTTGTCTTCACTATGTCTAGTAAAAATGAAAAGGCATTTTTCTCTCCCTCTAAAGAAAACAGGCCTTGGCTGAGGGTGGTAGTTCACACCTGTAATCCCAGCACTTTGGGAAGCTGAGTCAGGTGGATCACCTGAGGCCAGGAGTTTGGGACCAGCCTGGCCAACATGGTGAAACCCCATCTCTACTAAAAATACAAAAATTAGCTGGCTGGGGTGGTGCACACCTATAATCCCAGCTGCTGGGGAGGCTGAGGCAGGAGACTCACTTGAACCCAGGAGGTGGAGGTTGCAGTGAGCCAAGATCATGCCATTGTACTCCAGCCTGGGTGACAGAGAAAGACTCTGTCTCAAAAACAAAAAACAAACAAACCAACCCACCCAGGTCTTTACTTATGAAAACTAGGTAAACTGAGGCACACTGAATGATTATCCAAAAGGAGAAGGAGCTCCAAGGTTTGGAGGAGGCAGTGTGGGTGAGAGAGTGGGATTTCCCATGACTTGAAGATGTATGGAAGTGAGATTTTTTTTTAATCAAATGCACATTCTACTTACTTTCAAATAAATATTGTAGGGACCTAGTTCTGCTGTCATGTGACACATTGCAGATGGCAAGACTGTTGATGGAGGCAGCATTGTGGAGGATGGTGTGAAGACTCTTAATGAAAGATCCTCAGCTCAGGCTTACCACAGACAGGACATAAGCAACTGTGTTCAATTGGACTATGGGGCTTGGACAACATGCACTTTGGTGATGTCTGAAATTTCTGGTTAGGGTACATCCTCTCCTCGGCCATCTCCACTCTCATAGCATTTTCGGGAGGAAAAGCAGCTCTTAAACATTACTGAAATGCAGTTTCCCATGACTGAAGAGTAGAGACCTAAACATACCTATCTGATTTCTTAAAGAAATATAACTAACTGAGGATTGAGGAACTTCTTTTATTTACATACCTTTTAATTATGGCCCCTTAAACAAAAACTAGACATTAGTTGTTACCATTCATGATGATAGTGGTGGAGAACTGGTAGATTTTAGAATATTTTGCAGTCAGATGCTCTACCACTGAACTATATACCCCTGGTTTTAGAATATTTTGGAAATTTTGAGACAATGCTACTGGAGTGAACACAAAAACAGAGAGCATATGATCCTCTTCACATCTGAAAGCCATTAAAGACAACAGTGGCAGAGTCATTTCAGACGGTTCCACCCCTCAGCCAAATGCTGTAGCCCCGGCTTTGCATGCTAGCTCCAATACCAGACCAAAGTGAGCAGCCCTTGGGCAAAGACGAGAATGCTAAGGGTTGATCAAATGCCTTACAATTCACGAATCAGGGACCGAAGTTCCCCAGCTCAGGTGTCTATTATGGCCCAGGTGAATCCAATCCAATCACTTTAGCCTTATCAAGCAATTTAGGACATAGTGAAATTTTCACTCTTACAGATTTTTGTGATAATATGACTTGTTTAACATTTCTTGAGGGCAGATCTAGTGGTATCTATAAATAACCTTCAGGAAGCAAGATGGCCAGATAGAACCCTCTAGCAATTGTCCCCCCTGTAGGGACACCAAATTTGAACAACTATCCACATAAGAAGGCATCTATAAGACCCCCAAATCAGGTGAGTGATCACAGTACGTGGTTTTAACTTCATATAACTGAAAGAGGCACTGAAGAAGATAGGAAAGACAGTCTTGAATTGCCACCACCACCCCTCCGCCATGCCACGGCAGCGGCCACATGGTCCAGAGAAGGAATCTGTGTGTTGCTGGAGGGAGAGTGCAGTGACTGTGGAACTTTGCATTGGAACTCAGTGCTGCCTTTAACAGCGGAAAGTAAAGCAGGGCGGAAATCAGCAAGTGTCCATGGAGAGAGCATTTAGATTTGCCCGAGTCAGAGGGGAACCACGCATCCCAGTGACTGGAGCCTGAGTTCTGGAAAGCATTGCCACTCCAGGCTAAAGTGGTCTGGAGGGGTAATGCTTGAGTGATAAATTTGAAAGGCAATTTAGGCCCAAGGATTTCAATTACTGGGCAAGTCCCAGGGCTGTACTTGCCAGTAGACTTGGGGTGCACCTAGTGAGACACCCGCTGGGATGACAAGGGAGTGCTTGAGTCACCCCTTCCCCAATTCCAGGCAGCACAGCTCACAGCTCTGAGACAGATTCCTTTCTTCTGCTTGAGGAATGAAAGGGGAGACTAAGAGGACGTTATCTTGAAACTTGGATACCTGCCCAGCCACTGCAGGATAGAGTACCAGGCAGAGTCCAGCGCCTCCATTCCAGGTTCTAGCTCCCAGATGACATGTCTAGACATACCCGGGGACAGAAGGGAATCCACTGCCTTGAGGGAAGGATCCAGTTCTGGAATCATTAATCACCTGCTGCCTAAAGAGCCCTTGGGCCTTGAATAAACACCAGTGGGAGCCAGGGAGTATTTACTGCAGGCCTTGGATGAGTCCTAGTGCTATGCTGACTTCAGGCGAGACTCAGCACATTCCCGGCTGCGGGGCCTATGGGGAGGGACTCTTTCTGCTGAGAAAAGGAGAGGAGAGTGTCAATGGAACTTTGTCTTGCACTTGGTTATCAGCTCGGCCACAGTGGGTAGAGCACCAAGTGGGCTTTTAGGGTCACTAATTCCAGGCCTTGGCTCCCTGGACCAGATGGGAGCCCACTGCTCTGAACAGAGGGACCCAGGTCTAACAGTGTTCACCATAAGCTGACTAAAGAGCTCTTGGGCCTTGCGTGGACATCAGTAGTAGCCAGGCAGTATTTCCTGGCAGCCTGGGGCGGTGGTGGCCATGGGGAGAGTCTCCTCTGCTTGAGGAAAGGGGAGGGAAAAGTAGGAAAGACTTTGTCTTGTGGCTTGGGAGCCAGCTTAGCTGCAGTAGAATAGAGCACCAGGTAGATTCCTAAGGTTCCTGATCTTGGGCCCTTGCTCAAAGATAGCATTTCTGGACCTGCCCTGGGTGGGGCAGAGGAAGCTTTCCCCTTGAAGGCAAGGGCACAAGCCCAGCTGGATTCCACACCTGCAGATGATAGAGCCCGTGGGCTTTTCGGGAATATACTAGGCAGTGGTCGCCATGGGTCTTGGGCAAGACCCAGCGCTGTCCTGGCTTTGGGTCTGAATCAGTGCAGTCCCAGTGTTGGTGGCCACAGGGGTGCTTGTGTCACCCTACCCTCAGCCATAAATAACCTTCAAATATTCACATCCTTCCTTCTTTTCATTGGATTTCTGGTACACAGAAATAAATTAATAATAATCTTGGTTCACTACATACCCATGCCATGCATTTGTTTGCTTACTTGTTTTTGATAAATCCTTAGAAAATACCAACGAAAGTGAATGCTCAGATCTTTTTGTTTATTTGGTTTTTTCTTTTTCTTTTTTTTTTTTTAATTTGAGACAGGGTCTTGTTTGGTCACCCAGGATGGAGTGTAGTGGCGCAATCATGGCTCACTGAAATCTCAAATTCCTGGGCTCAAGCGATCATCCCACCTTAGCCTCCTGATTAATTGGGACCACACAAATGCATGCCACCACACTCGGCTAATTAAAAAAAATTTTTTTTTTTTTTTATGGATGGAGGTTCCCTTATGTTGCCCAGGCTGGTCTTGAACTCCTGGGCTCAAGCGATCCTCCCACCTTGGCCTCCCAAAGTGCTGGGATTATAGACATGAGCCATCATGCCTGGTGCTCAGCTCCTGTCGATAACTGATATCTAACTGTAAGTTCTCCACATTGCATCCCTATGCCTCCCTCCTATCTGAGCTAATGTGAATCTCATATTCATTATCGCATGCTTTCCCTTTTATATAAGAAAGGATATATATATAGTTATATCAGAAGTATGAAATGATTCTTTCAGAAATGAGGGAGAAGTAAAGTATAAGACAAGCAAAAACTGAAGATAGTTGTCACCGCTAGACTGGTTTTACAGGACATACTGAAGGGAGTCCTGCATCTAGAAGCAAAAAGACAGTAATCATCATTGTGAAAACATGTGAAAGTATAAAAATCATTAGTAGAGCATATATACAAACATCATATGTTTACTCATATGTGAAAGCTAAACCAGCTGATCTCACGGAATTAGAGAGGAGAATGATGGTTACCAGAGGCTGGGAAGGCTGGTTAGGGGATGGAAGGGATGAAGAGGGGTTAGTTAATGGGTACAAAAACATAGTTAAATAGAAAGAGTAAATTGCAGTGTTTGAGAACATCGTAGGGTGACTATAGTGAACAATAACTTATTGTATATTTCAAAGTAGCTAGAAAAGAACACTTGAGATGTTCCCAACACAAAGAAATGACAAATCTTTGAGGTGATGGATATCCTAATTACCATGATTTGATCATTACCATGGTATGCATGTATCAAAATATCACATGTACCCCATAAATATGTACAATTATAATGTATCTTTGATGAAATTTAGAATGTAAAACAAGATGAAGTATATTTAACATATGGTTATAAAATAGCATTTTATAACTGTTTCATTAAAAGCAAAAAGTCTGACAACAGATCCGTGGCGTTGCTTATACACTGTTGGGGAGATTTGAGTTGGCACAACAACTCTGGAAAACAGTTTTTCTTTATCTCTTAAAGGTAAGCATTCATCTACCCAGGAGGAGATGCCTATACAGTGCTGCCTCAACCAAAATACTTTTGAGAATAAAATGGGGGTACTATTTTATCTAGGGTGAGTCCTTAGAAAAGAAAGTCCCAGTAAACTGGGATTGAAATGGGAAAACTGAATCATCTGGTCATTTACCTAAGACCCAGAAAGCCCACTCACAGGAGGCAAACCATTGCATCTGCTCACAGGAGTCCTGTATAGGAATGTTCATAGCAGCGCATGTGAACACAGTCCTGCACGTAGCCTTTCACCCAGCGGGTATCATATCTAGGAGTTTATTATAACAAATGGATATTGGTTAAGAACAAACATTTACCTACAGTGTAATTCAAACTATTTTTATAATTCCGAAAATCTGGACACTATCTAAATATTGACAATTCATCCTTGGTGAAATCATTGTGACACAATAATAAAACATTACCAAAAGTTAGTAAAGATAATATTATGAGAAATATTTATGGAAAATGTCCACAGAATACTAGGTAAAAAGCAGATTACATATCAGAATGCTTACCATGGCATCATTTTTATAAAGTGAATTTGTACATTAAAAAGAGACTAGGAGGATCTATTTTACAGCATTAATACTAGATAGTGATGGCTTTCTGGGAAAAGTTTAATTTTTTAATTTACTTCTCTATATTATGATATTTTTCTTCAATAACCATGTTATTTTTAAAAAAAGTTTTAAAAGTGGAAAATAAATCCTATTGCACCAGAACACTGTTTAGGTTGGAGGCTGTTCTGTCATGATTGCCCTCATGACATGTCATTTTATGTTCAGAGTATCCTAGACAGGTAGCTTCCCTCGCACCGTGCTCACCTCATCAAACACAAGTCCCTGCTGCATCTGTGAAAGCTTCCTTTCCTTCATCAAAACACAGTGTTTAGGTGCCACAAGCACAAGCCAGCTCACTGTCATAGTCTGGCTCCCGAGTTGCAATAACTCCGCAACTACTGAGCAACTCCTAATGCCTCAGGTTCTGTGAAGAGAGTATGAAGAGACGACTAGTTGCGTGGATAAAAACTTCTGGAAGGTGAATATTAAACCTTTGAAGATCTTTGGAGCTTGGTTCCTTATCAGAAGAGAGACATTTACCTGAGGAGTTGGAGTAAATCTTTTGTGGTCAGAGAGGAGGCACAGTGAAATTCCTGGGGTCAAAGGGCAACCGTATTGGTACAACAGCGGGAGTCTCTTTGGCCAGTCTCTAAATGGAGAGTGGTCTTTATTTCTGATAAGGGAAGCTGAGTATCAGGGCTACGCTATGAGATTTTCAGGGTTATAAAAACTCAGAGGTTTCCTATTTCCACGCAGGAACAAATTTAAGAGGCTAGACTTCCACTTCCTGGTAGCTGACCCTAGCTGTAACGTTTCTGAGGTGCTGATAAGATCCAAGGACAATTTGAACCCCCTGCTTCCAGTCAGGCTCCCCAGGTCCATGGAGTCACTATAAAAATTCCATTCCAAAGTTCTGAGGGGTATTTGGTTGGATAGAATCTGACATGTGAAGATCAGGGACTTCCCAATATGGTGGTGGTGAGAACCAAAGAATCATTGTTTCCGAGATTTTTCAGGAACTCAGTTTTGTATTACTCAGTTAAAGATAAGGCCAAACGAAAATACTTAGGGCCTCACATAGCCTCAGTGATGATAGTTTGTCCAATTTTGACATGGCAGTAACTGGTATTGGTCATTCTTTGTAGGGTTAGACACCGTATGAACTAAGCACATAATATGTATTTTTATCTCATGTAATTCTGTACAACCCTGCAAGGCAAGCTATTACCATTATTATTTTACAGGTGAGAAAATGGCATTGCAGAAAAGTCAAATAACTTTCCTAGGTTCACAGACTTAGTAAAGAAATTTGAACTGAGGACC